CACTTAGGAAACAATCTATTTTACTTAACATACTTAACAAAATGTGCTCATACTTAAAGTCATGTGTTTTATAAACTCTGACCAGACTTCATGTGGAAATTTTACCAGGAGGCTGGCAGGAAAAAAATCAGGGTTTCAGGAGTTTTGTGAACATGCAAAAACATCAATTCAGACATGACACTAGATCAAGACCAATAGTGTGACTATTCAAGAACTGGGTCCCTTGCTGCATTCATGTGGTGTCGGACGCATCGGAAAAATAAGTTTCCTAGTTGGAAAATGCATGTGAACGCATGCTCAAGTCAGAACAACTACTCTATTGGAGCCTGACTTGCCGACTTGGTTTTCCATTCCTTTATTTTGTCCTCGTTGGATTTCTCCAATGCCCTTTACTGACTTCAACTAGTTAAAAATGCTTCAGCTGGACTGATAATGGCTCAAGACCCTAACCCAAGAAAACACAACCACATAACCCCAATCCTGGCCTCGTTGTTTTGGCTTCTGCTGAGCTACCGTAATGATTTAAAAAGTGTATTACTAGCTAGCTCTACATGACAAGGCCCCTTGTTACATAATTGACTTATTAACTCTTTTATGAGCCTGGGCGCCCCCTCAGATCAGCTGATCAGGGTTAACCGGTTGTACCCGGAGCCTGTTTGAAGACAAAGGGCTGTCTGGCTTTCGCAGTCCAACATGCTCCAAAACTCTGGAATGACCGGTCTTAATTCCAAATCCAGAGTCCGCCCATGTCTTAAGTAAACATGCTATTGATTCAAAGACAAGACCTTAAAAAAGTGGAAGACCAATCTCGCATAGCCTACTTTTATTACAATACTCCGACTTTCTGAAGTGAAGTACTTGAACACACTGAAGTTGGAAGAACGACAGCTTCCCAACTCGGGAACTGGGACCATCCAAGGAGCACGTGAATGGAGCGACTCACCAAGCTGCATTATTTCATTAAATAAAAAAACTGAAAAAGAAAACTTTGGGTAGGGAAATCTGCAGACACACTCATGGTTTCCTAAAGGCAACACTGAGTTCATCAGAAGGTTTATTAGAGTCTGCAGGCCTGACACAGACACACACAGCTTCATATGGTTCAGTTATGACCTGTTGGTGTTGGTATTCTCATTGACTCGCTCCTTTAAGTGGGTTCATACGACTCTGGTCCTCTTTGTTTCTGCAGCTTCAGCTTCACTGATGATCCTCAGAGGAGACTTCACACAGAGAGCAGCCATCTGTGGAGGGCAGGACGCTGCCAAAGCAAACACACACACACATAAACACACACACACACACACACACACACACACACACACACACACACACACACACAGGCTGCTAGACACCTTAATACACACAACATGGCGGCATAACGACTTATATCCAGGTTAATGGCCCCACGATGATTGAACTGATGAAATTGTTGTTGGAACATGTAAAGAAACCTCGTAACATGATCTCATCCGTTTCAAATAAAGGACAGCGGCCAATAATGTTTATGAAACAACAACAGTGTGATTATAAAAATAGTTTATTATCAGAGAATCTAAAGCAAAACAGTACAAAATGGATAATGGAACAAACTGCAAAATGGTTAAGATAGAAACTCTTTTTTTGGCGCTGATAGCCTAGCGGTTATGACACCACATGTACAGAGGCTGTAGTGCTCAGCACAGCGACCGTGGGTTCAAATCTGACCTAGGCCCTTTGCTGCATGTCAATACATAAAAATCCTGCTACTGATCCTAACTAACAAGACATCAACCTAGGACCTGGTACTATCTTAGTTAACAAGTAGTTAGCTGGTAGCAGCAGGAAAAGTTCCTGCAGACACAGTTCATGGAGGAGGAGGAAGGAGAGAACATGTGAAGATATGAACACAGACAAGTTGGATTTTGGTTTTCCTACAAATGTGGAACAGGAATTATTCATAAGTTGTGTGTAACCAACTGAAAAGGACACAAAATGATCCCACAGTCACAAACATGCAAGTGACAAGAGTCAACATTCGGTTTATTTTGGGTGCAAACACAACGCTAGATGACAAAGTTTACAGACGCAGAAAGTAAGTACAAGGAAGCCCAGCTCTCCCATGCTGCTGCAGGGTGTGTGTGTGTGTGTGTGTGTGTGTGTGTGTGTGTGTGTGTGTGTGTGCCTGGGTTTGTGTCTGGGTGTTCTTATATCATGAAGACGTACTTGCTTCTGACTTTCTTTTTGAATCCTTAACGGCATCAAACCTCTGAATATCAAGACATCAGAGCCTGTCGTGATGCATACTCTACACACACACACACACACACACACACACACACACACACACACACACACACACACACACACACACACACACACAAGTATGAGTTTACCATAGCAGACAGTGTGTATTCTCAGTGAGTGTATTTGCATGTTTTTAAGGATGCTGTGATGGACCAACAGCTACCCCTGCTGACAGACAGAAGTCACTGCAGGTGTCTTCAGCCTGCTGTACCCATAATGCCACGGGGCGGGGTGCTCGTTTCAGTCTGTGTGTGTGTGTGTGTGTGTGTGTGTGTGTGTGTGTGTGTGTGTGTGTGTGTGTGTGTGTGTGTGTGTCTGTGTGAGTCAGCGTCACACTGACAGAAACATATTGAATACTTTGAATCTGTGTTGATGGCTGACATGAAACAACAGCTGCTGCAGCAGAGGCGTGAACACACAGACACTGAGATGCTTAAATTATACATATTTTATACATTTATTTTTATATTTAAAGGTTATCTGTCAAAATGTCAAAATACTTTCTCACGTTTGAAATTCAAAAGGTAGTTCTGGAATGTTTTGTTGTTTTTGTCCCTGATATTACTTGTATATTTAAAGAAAAATAAGGGAAGGTATATTTTGAACTTTACTTTATATAAAGATATGTTCTGAAATGTACTTCAATTAATTTTGTTTTGGTAAAGTTGTAAAACCATAAAAAGCAATCGTAAGAAAATCGTATCTTGAGTCAAGTTTATCGTTACATCTTCAATATGACAGTTTAAATTATTAATAACTCTGACATCTAGTGTTTAAAATGGGTACTGCAGTCTAAATTCTAAACATCATAGAGAGCTGTCTCCCCCCCTCCTCTCTAGAGTGGATGCTCACTCAGGTCACCATGTGGTGGACTCTGAAGCTTCAGTGTTTATCCAGCTCTGCATGGGTCTGTAAACCTTTCTGTGTTCTAACCTCTCTCCATTTTTCAAAAGCATCTCCAATATTGATCCTAGTTTGAGCACGTTTCTGCTCGTGGAGCTTATTAGAAACATGCAGAGGCTTTTTAGGTCGGGTACAATCACTTCTATCTGAACCACTTCTCTTGACCGCTTCCATCGCTGCAACACCTGTTGACCTGATAACTGCTCTCATATCTGACAAACCGAGGGGCGTCCAAAACGGCCGTGTGTGTGTGTGTGTGTGTGTGTGTATGTGTGTGTGTGTGTGTGTGTGTGTGTGTGTGTGTGTGTGTGTGTGTGTGTGTGTGTGTGTGTGTGTGTGTGTGTGTGTGTGTATGTGTATGTGGGGGGGGGGCCTTAAAACTGTTTACCTTCTCTGGTCCAAACAAATCCAGAGCATTCAGGATAGGGTTGCCACCTTTCAAGCAGAAAATTAAAGGACACCCCGCAGCGAGGTGCAACTCAGCAGGGGCCTGACCACCACTGGCCCAACGGTGGAGTGGGGCACCAGTTGTGGTGAATCATGATTTAAAACGTTGTTTTAATGAAGTAATAAGAGTCATACTTAAAGTTTTAAGTGCTTTATTAACTAAAGTACTTAAAAATAATTTACAAAAACACAAAATTTCAGTTTAAGGCAGATACAGTAATGTATGCACAATGAAATGCAGCTAACAGGACGTCAGCAGATGATTACTACGAGCTATTTAATTTACAACTTAACTTAAAGTTCAAATAAAGTTATTAACTTAACATTAATTCATTAACAGTATTATTGAAGTGCTTTTGACACTGCTGTAACATAGAGGGGAGGAGGACAGGTTTTTAATTAAATAAACTGTAAGAATTTAATAGTAGTTCATTTATTCCTTCTGTCTGTTGTGTTTGTTGTTTTCTCATGATGAATGATACTGTTAATATGGGTTTGAACTATTTTCTTATTGTATTAATTAAGTGTCTTCTGTCGATATATTGATGTTGTATTGATGATATCTCGCCCAGGACAAACTGTGAATACAGATTTAGCTAAAATAAATGTTATCTTTTTGTTTTATGTACTGAAAAATATTCACACTATCCAAACTATACTGGAATAACCTATTTATAAACATGGGAGAAAATATATGAAGTAGCCTATAATAGTTTCCTTTACATTATATTCATTTTCACTGACACTGTTAAGCCAGTCATTACTTTCTACTCTCGTCTGTATTTCTGCTTCGTTTACGTTTCTATGGTGCACAGTGCGGGAATCAGAGGCAGACATGTTTCCTACTGACTCCTATGACTTTCTCTCACCCAATCACTGACGAGCTCTCATTGCTCATGCCAAAAAAGAACCAAACAAACCAACGGACGCTCCGAGGAGGCGGGAACTAGCCGGCTGAATGATGCTGAGTTCAAGGCATCTTGGAAATATGGGACAAACCGCGTCCCGTACTGATTCAAAACGAGACGCAATATCAAAGTGAAAAATACGGGACGATTCCGTATTTTACGGGACGGGTGGCAACCCTAATTCAGGAGCAGAATCTAAAGTTAGAAGGAGGACAAACTGGCTGCTGCATTGTTGTCAGAGAAGCCAGCACTTCAACATAGCATGTTTCCTTAATGTCTGATCAAAGTAAGGTCATTTTAAAATTGAATTTACTACATATCTTACTGATTGGTCCTTTAAAGTCATGAGACAGGAATTAAGGTTATTTTATAATTTAATTCAGGAGACATCTTGTATTTTGGCCCGTCTTTTCATTTTTAATCAGGCACTTCAAAGACGCCTACAGGCTGTCAAACATCGGGGTCCTGACGGGTCCTTCAGCCCTGAGCTGCTCCTCCAGTCTCCTTCCGTTAGCCGACAACCGGTTACAGAAAACCGACAAATTCACCGTAAATCCTGCTCAAACGGACCGGGTCCCGGGAGTTATGATGGGCGGGAGGACCAGCGCGTTGGCCGCGGGGGTGTGCGGGGCTCTGTTCGTCGGTTACTGCATTTATTTCGACAGAAAACGGCGGAGTGACCCCAACTTTAAGAACAGGCTGCGGGAACGTGAGTGTTGACCTCCTCCTCGTCCTCCTCCTCTTCCTCTTCCTCCTCCTCCTCCTCCTCCATCAGGCCTCAGAGCTCAGATCCGGTCCAGTGTGGCTCGGTTCGGCTCGGTAATTCTCGGTTTGTGTTGTTTTGGTTCGGCCAGCCGGTCTTCACAGTTTTAGCTTCTCTAACCCGCCCTGTAGTGGCCGTGCTAGCCGTATGTTCCATAAGGCTCTCCTGCCGAACCCCCTTTAGCTTTCTCCTCATTTTAAGATTTGATCCATAAACTGTCGTTTAAAAAACGTAAAAGTGATTCATTAACATCCAGAAACACAACACAATGTCTTCGGCTCAATTCGGCTGAAAGTTAACCAAATATTTAATTGTAAATGTATAGATTTAGTTGAATTTCCTTTGACATGATTTACTCTTACGTGCAGCTTTGTTCTGTTTAATGTGATGAAGCGCTCATGACGAGTTCCGGTCACTTCTTACTAGGGCTGTAAACATCTTAAAATGTTTAATCGTGATTAGACACAACATATAAATTAGCATTTTTAAATTCTGTTGTTTTGTATTTCAAAATAAAAATTGTTAGGCTTTTATTTTGAATTTTTGTACTGCCTTAAGATGAGAGTTCTTAACTAGCTGTGTGCTTTTATTTTGAAACAAAGTAAGGCCCTTCCGGTAGAGTGAAGGACATGAGTTTAAACACAGGAAGTGGTTAGGGATCCCAAACTGACGTCAAAGGAACGGTAACAAAGGTCAATGTGTGATGTCACAAGGTCAGTGTGTGATGTCACAAGGTCAGTGTGTGATGTCATCAGGTCAGTGTGTGATGTCACAAGGTCAGTGTGTGATGTCACAAGGTCAGTGTGTGATGTCACAAGGTCAGTGTGTGATGTCATCTGGTCAGTGTGTGATGTCATCAGGTCAGTGTGTGATGTCACAAGGTCAATGTGTGATGTCACAAGGTCAGTGTGTGATGTCATCAGGTCAGTGTGTGATGTCACAAGATCAATGTGTGATGTCATCAGGTCAGTGTGATGTCATAAGGTCAGTGTGTGATGTCATCAGGTCAGTGTGTGATGTCACAAGATCAATGTGTGATGTCATCAGGTCAGTGTGATGTCATCAGGTCAGTGTGTGATGTCATCAGGTCAATGTGATGTCATCAGGTCAATGTGTGATGTCATCAGGTCAGTGTGTGATGTCATCAGGTCAGTGTGATGTCATAAGGTCAGTGTGTGATGTCATCAGGTCAGTGTGATGTCATAAGGTCAGTGTGTGATGTCATAAGGTCAGTGTGTGATGTCATAAGGTCAGTGTGTGATGTCATAAGGTCAGTGTGTGATGTCATAAGGTCAGTGTGTGATGTCATCAGGTCAATGTGATGTCATCAGGTCAGTGTGTGATGTCATCAGGTCAGTGTGATGTCATCAGGTCAGTGTGTGATGTCATCAGGTCAGTGTGTGATGTCATCAGGTCAATGTGATGTCATCAGGTCAATGTGATGTCATAAGGTCAGTGTGATGTCATAAGGTCAGTGTGTGATGTCATCAGGTCAGTGTGTGATGTCATCAGGTCAGTGTGTGATGTCATCAGGTGGATATTACTGTGTGAGAGTTTGTTAAAGTGAAATGAGACATTCAGAGATGCAGCAGTGAGACTACAGGGAGACACTGAGGACGAGTATCTACGGAGAGTCTGAAGGGACAAAAAAGGTGCGTTTACTAGTTAATGTTGACAGCCCCAGTCTTTAGCTTCTCTCCCTGAAGTTTCTCTTTTCAGTGCTGATTAATCATCTTACATGAGTCCACGAGGTCTTCAGGTTAATGCGGCTTAAAGTAAACCTACTAATAAGAATGTCTTACTTATGTCACATTCCTGGGGCCGCTCTGGAGCGAGTAAACAAGGGCGGGGGGATTTGAGCCGTGGGGGCCCAGGGGGGAGCAGCGGAGTAAATTATCGAGATAATCTAGATTATCAATTTTGAAAATCCTCCTAAACCACAAACAGGATTTATCGCCCAGCCCTCGTGACACCTCTGGTTGAAATGTGTGGTTTGACCTTGAAGTTACCGGCAAGGTCAGGATAAAGTCACAGGATTTAGGTTAGGTTTGCTGATTACGTCACTACTTTCTAACACCGCTCTAGTTTCATTCTCTCAGTGACCTGTTTGTGTGCACCTCCGCAGACTCATTGATAAAGTCTGTTTCACAACAACAACAACAACAACAACAACAACAACAACACGCTCAGCTTCCCCCGTGCTGCTGACCGGCGCTCAGCCAAACGGAGAGATTGTGGTCTTACTACCTGCCGGGGGGGGGGAGGTGACACGAGACTGCTCCAGGTGCGACAATTCAGGCGACCATAAAGCTCCTGATGAACACAGGCCGACTCAGACTGCTGTTCCAGTCCGTGATATTTACACCCCTGTGACGTTTCACCTTCAATCTGAATGTCTTGGAGGCGTAAGGCGGGGGGGGGGTGATCCCCCCTTCTGTAGCGTCTTCAGAGGTAGTAAAAGAGGCGGGACTGTTCAGTGGAGTCAGCAGGGGAGCACAGCGCTCTGTGTGTGTGTGTGTATGTGGAGCTCCCGCTGTGCCGTGCTTCCACAACGCCAAAACAGAATGTGACCTCACAGACTTGGAGAATCAATATGAAAGTACAAAGGACGTGATGACGGCTGAGCTTAGTTAGAAAAGATGTACTAAGTCTGTTCAGTCACTCAGTTTGTGAGGGGTTAATGATTCTTTGTTCCACACGTTGAGCTCAGTTTGAACTGTCCAATCATTAACCCTTCAGCGAGAGGAATCCGTCTCTCTTAAAACTCAAACGACATCGGTTCCTCTTTGGACACCACAACAACAAACACACAGAAAGTCCTACACACCCAGTGTTGGATCATTTCTTGATTTTAATCACCGAAAATTGCACGCAAACTCCGACAGATTTATATGATTTGGACCGTGTGAACGTACGACTGAAGATCTGAAGTTTCTTTAAGATTCTTTTTGATTCTATGGCTGATTTTAATAAGAGAGGATGTAACGTTTTAAAACATGTGGTATCAAAAAGGTATTTAGCTATCTAAACTTTTGACGACCTTACCAACCCAAAGACCCTGAAGTGTCTCTCATAAACACAAATACCAGCAGCAAACCTTCAGATTTTAAGGAGCTGGAACACAAATATTCAACTCTCTTGCTTGATAAATAATAAATTTTCATTAAGAGTTGAGATTTACTTTGGAAAAACTCGTAAATTCAACAGGAAGAATGTTCAACATCAATAAATCATAAAGTCTGTCCTGTGTAAATGTGTCTCTGAGTCCTGACTGTCTACAATGAGGGAGAAGCTCGAGTCCCGCTGGCTGTGTTGTTGTCAGAGCCGTGTTTACATGGACGGGACGGCCGGCTCCTCCCCTTGTGTATAAAAGCTGTTTTAGTCAAGAACTAGAGAGAAGAAGAAGAACATACTCACTGATTATTTGGATGTTAGTAAGAGTTTTTAGATCACGCTCATTCTGTGTCAGTTTACATGAAATGTGAAGCTACGAGCTAACTAAAGAGCGCTAACATTAGCATGCTAACACAACAATGCAGGACACGGGTGATCGCAGCTTGAGTAGAGGACAATTTAGCTCGACTCCTTTGCGCGAATGTAGGCTTCAGTATGGAGGAGGCGTGGCCTAATAGCAGTTTGTTTTGGTTTCATGCTGGAGCTCAAGGGCGACATCTACTGGATCAAAAAGTCGCACATTCTTCCTTTAATATCCTAATCTGTGAAGTGACACACATGCACATAAAAAGTGTGTGTTCCCCTTTAACTGCATCCTGAAGGCTCAGCTTTGTTCTCGGGGATCTGACCGTCTTGTTTGTGTTCCCGTTGCAGGGAGGAGAAAGCAAAAGGTAGCCAAAGACAGGGCCGGCATCGCAAAGGTAAGCACAGCGTCTTCTTCATACTTCACGTTGGTGCAATCAATCGTTCTCTACTGGCTCCAGAATGTGAGGAAACGTTAAAGCAATGACTGATCTACTCGGGACAGTTTCAAAAGCATTTCACTGTGGGTGTGATTTAAGCTGTCTCCATGTCGGAGACCAGAAGGAAAGGAGAGGAGTTCTGAGCGTTGTGTTTTTCTGCAGCTCCCCGACCTGAAGGACGCAGAGGCCGTGCAGAAGTTCTTCCTGGAGGAGATCCAGCTCGGGGAGGAGCTGCTGGCTCAGGGTAACGCCTCTCTTTCTGCTCTCGCTCTGCAGTATTTAGGCTGAACTTTTGACCTTTAAAAGTTTTGACCTGCTGACGAGGATTCAAAGACGGCGCCTGGAGTCTTGGTTCATTCTCACATGCACCTCAAATGTCTGGACGGTTTCTGGAGTTTTGTGAAGTCGGCCTTACTGTGTCCTCATATTTTGTCCTTCAGGAGACTATGAGAAAGGTGTGGACCACCTGACCAACGCCATCGCGGTGTGCGGTCAGCCCCAGCAGCTGCTGCAGGTGCTGCAACAGACTCTGCCTCCGCCCGTCTTCCAGATGCTGCTCACCAAACTGCCCACCATCAGCCAGGTGAGACCTCCTTCTTTGTGGTTAATGTGTTTACTTTGGAGCCCCTCTGTGCAGCCGCTTTGAAGCCTCCACACCTCGTTAAGAAGTCCAGAATCAGACGGGTAGCTTCACCATGTGGTCTTCTTTGATCCAGGTAGCTGTAACACCTGCCTGACTGTCCTGGACCTCATTCAAACCACGATGTAATACTTGTACGTGGTTACCATGGCAACAGTTATAGAGTCCTAGGTTGAGTTTTAGTTCTCCAAGACCAAGACAAGTCTGTTCTTATCGATTTGATCTGGACTAAATAGGTGTAGCAACATATAAATGACAAAACGTGAAGATAGCAGTAAAGAGGATCACTCCCACGATTCCCCGCCAGCCTCAACATCAACTTTTCTTTTTGTTTGGATTGAGAGCCCCCTGGTGGAGGAATTTACAAACTGTGTTAAATCTCAGGATGATGACTAAACCAAACACAGAAGAACATAAACAACAGCAAGAACATAACAAATGCAAAATACTAAAAAATAATTAAATACAATTCAACAGAAAAGAACCCAAAGTGCACGATACCCAACAGACATATAGAACCAGACCATCACAAGAACCATCACAAGAACCATCATAAGAACCCAGGCAACACAAGAACCATCACAAGAACCATCACAAGAACCATCACAAGAACCATCATAAGAACCATCACAAGAACCACCATAAGAACCATCATAAGAACTATCACAAGAACCATCACAAGAACCACCATAAGAACCATCACAAGAACCATCATAAGAACCTAGGAAACACAAGAACCATCATAAGAACCATCATAAGAACCATCACAAGAACCATCACAAGAACCATCACAAGAACCATCATAAGAACCAGGCAACACAAGAACCATCACAAGAACCATCACAAGAACCATCATAAGAACCCAGGCAACACAAGAACCATCACAAGAACCATCATAAGAACCTAGGAAACACAAGAACCATCACAAGAACCATCACAAGAACCCAGGCAACACAAGAACCATCATAAGAACCATCATAAGAACCCAGGCAACACAAGAACCATCACAAGAACCATCATAAGAACCATCACAAGAACCCAGGCAACACAAGAACCATCACAAGAACCATCATAAGAACCCAGGCAACACAAGAACCATCACAAGAACCATCATAAGAACCCAGGCAACACAAGAACCATCACAAGAACCATCATAAGAACCATCACAAGAACCATCACAAGAACCCAGGCAACACAAGAACCATCACAAGAACCCAGGCAACACAAGAACCATCATAAGAACCATCATAAGAACCCAGGCAACACAAGAACCATCACAAGAACCATCATAAGAACCCAGGCAACACAAGAACCATCATAAGAACCATCACAAGAACCATCACAAGAACCATCATAAGAACCAGGCAACACAAGAACCATCACAAGAACCATCATAAGAACCATCACAAGAACCCAGGCAACACAAGAACCATCATAAGAACCATCATAAGAACCCAGGCAACACAAGAACCATCACAAGAACCATCACAAGAACCATCATAAGAACCCAGGCAACACAAGAACCATCACAAGAACCATCACAAGAACCATCACAAGAACCATCATAAGAACCCAGGCAACACAAGAACCATCACAAGAACCATCATAAGAACCCAGGCAACACAAGAACCATCACAAGAACCATCACAAGAACCATCATAAGAACCATCATAAGAACCCAGGCAACACAAGAACCATCACAAGAACCATCATAAGAACCTAGGAAACACAAGAACCATCACAAGAACCCAGGCAACACAAGAACCATCATAAGAACCCAGGCAACACAAGAACCATCACAAGAACCATCATAAGAACCATCACAAGAACCCAGGCAACACAAGAACCATCACAAGAACCATCATAAGAACCATCATAAGAACCCAGGCAACACAAGAACCATCACAAGAACCATCATAAGAACCATCACAAGAACCATCACAAGAACCCAGGCAACACAAGAACCATCATAAGAACCCAGGCAAAACAAGAACCATCATAAGAACCATCATAAGAACCCAGGCAACATAAGAACCATCACAAGAACCATCACAAGAACCATCATAAGAACCATCATAAGAACCCAGGCAACACAAGAACCATCACAAGAACCATCACAAGAACCATCATAAGAACCATCATAAGAACCCAGGCAACACAAGAACCATCACAAGAACCATCATAAGAACCATCATAAGAACCCAGGCAACATAAGAACCATCATAAGAACCATCATAAGAACCATCATAAGAACTCAGGCAACACAAGAACCCAACAACACAAGCTGAGACCAAGAGGAGCAAAGATTTAAAAAGATGTAAGAAACTAAAAGAGCTCAAAGCAAATCAAAAGAGAACAGCAATAAGAAGGTAAGAGCAGGAAAAGAAAGTAATTAAAGGATCAAAAAACCCAAAACTATAAATATATATATATAAAAATAAAACATAAAAAGACAAAGTAAGTAAGATAAAAAAAAAATTAAAAAAAGTTTTTGTGCAGTTCAGACAGCGTGAGTCCACCTGCAGGTTTTATCGATGGATTCCTTCCTCTCTACGGCTCTAACTGTTTGTTTGTTTTTGTCCTGCAGCGTATTGTGAGTGCACAGAGTCTGAGCGAGGACGATATAGAGTAAGGCGAGGGATCGACAGGAACAACCCGCCCTCCTCCTCCTTCCATTCTGACCTGCCAACACCTCGGCCTCCATCACTCCGGCCGACGTCTCTCGCTCCCCCCATCAAGGCGTCCTAAAGGAAATTCATTTTGTATTCCTGGTTTACCTGCGACAGTAGCGTTTGTTTTTTTACTAAATGACCCGTATTAAACGATCATTAACCTTAGAGAGCAAAGCGAGCGCCCGCCCCCGCTCCTCCATCGTTAAATGTGTGATAACAGGACATCGGCTTGTTCTTCTTTCAAGGCGGCGTGGGCGCACATCCTGCCCGCTTCACGCTTCAGGTTTACAGTCTGACGTGTTTGTTTATGATATCAGAAGGTTACAGGAACAGGAGGCCGCAGAGTATTTATTGTTTTGTAATCGGTCGTCTTTCTGTTTTCGGTTCTCGACCTCGAAACACTTTTTAAAAAGTGATGAAATGTTCTGTTCATCTTAAAGAGGAAAGAAAAAATAAAATCAATAAAAAGTGAACAAACTCTGGAGCTCTGTGATCTGTGATTATTTCAAATGTTGTGACAGAGCAGACGCGGGTGTTTTCTAGTCTTCTGACTACTCAAAGCTCTTTTACAGTGCAGGTCACACCAGTCTGACTTTTTTCTCCGTGCGCCCCTGAACAGCTTTCATAGGAATGACCGGGGCACCACCTTCAATGCTGTATCCACTCTGTAATGCATGGTACGCGGCGTGCAGGGACTATGTGTCAGTAAAGGTGACCTCGGCTGTATCCGAATTGCCAAGTACCTCTTCAATCTGTCAGTAGACAGTACCTGCTATCTGCTGTATGCTGTTAGTACCTACTATCTGCTGTATGCTGTTAGTACCTACTATCTGCTGTATGCTGTTAGTACCTGCTATCTGCTGTTTACTGTTTAGTACCTGCTATCTGCTGTTTACTGTTTAGTACCTGCTATCTGCTGTATACTGTTAGTACCTACTATCTGCTGTATGCTGTTAGTACCTGCTATCTGCTGTATACTGTTAGTACCTACTATCTGCTGTATGCTGTTAGTACCTACTATCTGCTGTATACTGTTCAGTACCTACTATCTGCTGTTTACTGTTTAGTACCTGCTATCTGCTGTTTACTGTTTAGTACCTGCTATCTGCTGTTTACTGTTTAGTACCTGCTATCTGCTGTATACTGTTCAGTACCTACTATCTGCTGTATACTGTTCAGTACCTACTATCTGCTGTTTACTGTTTAGTACCTACTATCTGCTGTTTACTGTTTAGTACCTGCTATCTGCTGTTTACTGTTTAGTACCTGCTATCTGCTGTTTACTGTTTAGTACCTACTATCTGCTGTATACTGTTTAGTACCTACTATCTGCTGTATACTGTTTAGTACCTACTATCTGCTGTATACTGTTAGTACCTACTATCTGCTGTATACTGTTAGTACCTACTATCTGCTGTTTACTGTTTAGTACCTACTATCTGCTGTATACTGTTAGTACCTACTATTCAGTAGGCAGATATTTGTTCCTACTTCTTCTGATTCATTCAGTAAGGAAGTGACGTCATTTACGTTTCCCGAACCGGCCACATTCACCCGTTTGTTTTTTGTTTTTTTGTTTATCTTCATTCAAGAAGAGTAATGCTCATATACAGTCAGGTAAACAACAAACAATATCACAATGTAAATCAAGTAAAAGATTAAATAACTAAATAACATACAGTTATCTTTATTTAAATAGTTAAATCTTTATTTAAATAGTGAAATCATTATTTAAATATTGAAATCTTTATTTAAATAGAGAAATCTTTATTTAAATAGTGAACTCATTATTTAAATAGAGAAATCATTATTTAAATAGTGAAATCATTATTTAAATAGTGAACTCATTATTTAAATAGTGAAATCATTATTTAAATAGTTAAATCATTATTTAAATAGTTAAATCATTATTTAAATAGTTAAATCATTATTTAAATAGAGGGAGAAAGGTTTTATAATAATGCAGATATTTGTTTTGTTTTCTGTTGTTAATTTAAAGTAGTGATTTCAGTCGGGACTTTAACTCTAGATTAAAAATTGATTAAATTAATCCACGCTCGTTTGTTTTGATTTGGAGGCGGACGTGACGTGACGATTTACGTTTATTTTCGCACAGCATTGTGGGTTAAATACAACTCATTTCCTGAAAGCACGCATCCGATCCATACTGCATGAAACCAGGAAGTTAGTATCCATACTGAACGACCACGAAAGTTCAGTATACTGAAACTCCATACTGAAAAGTACGTACTGCCTACTGAACTGTGGCTATTCGGAAAGGGCCCCCTTCTTCTTCTTTTTTTAAACACTGTTGATGGTTTGCAGGTGAAAGAAGATAAAAACACATCACAGTCGTGTTTTAGTTGAAATGTGATTTATTATCTTTAGTAATGACATCTGAAAACGGACTCAACACAACTGACAACATGATCCCTACAACAGCGGGACAAAGAGGTCATGAGCGGGATTCAAACCCGTTACCTTGAAAACATTTTTATTTTGTTCAGAGTAGAAAAGTTGAATCCTTCCTGGAGACAAACGATGAACAAACAGGATTCACTGAAACTCTAAAACCTCCAGATCACTCCGTCTGGAACACCTCGCTGCTGCTCTCCTATTGGTCCATTTACAGCAGAAAGAGCGGCATCATGGCGCCCCCCCCTCCCCCCTCAGACGTCAGATATGAACCTTCTTATTGGGCTTCACTTTCTTCTTCTTTTTAATCTTTTTGTTCGGATCCGTCATCTCTCCTTTGAAGGAGCCCGAGCTTCTGGGCGATTTCTGCTGATTTCCAGAGAAGTTCTTGAAGCCTCCTCGCTCCCTCCCCGGGCCCTTAAAAGGACCCTTCATGAGGCCCTTCGTGGGGCCCTTGGCGGCCTTCACCGCGGTTCCTTTGCCGTCAGTTTTCTTCAGCTTCTCCTTTTTCACCGACCTCTTCACCCGGACCGACCGGCCCTCCAGTTTGGTGCCATCGAGCTCCAACGCCAGCTGCACCGAGTCAGCGCTCTGCGAGGGGCGGACACAAACAGGAAGTACACAAACAGGAAGTACACAAACAAGTATAAGTTCTTGATTTTGTGTTTGTAAACATTTTGTCCTGATTTCAGGATTTCTGGTTAAATAAAAACGTTACCTCGAAGAGCACGTAGCCGAATCCTTTCCCCAGTCCAGAGTTCTGGTCTCGCACCAACCGGACCGCCTCCACGGCACCACACTCCTCAAAGTGTCGCCGAACAGCCAGCTCATTTATCTCTACACACACACACACACACACACATTAACACACAGGGATGAAAAAGGTGACATGGATCCAAAGAAGACTCTTTTTTTTTTTTTAAATATCAGCTTTACTTCGTGAATTTACAGAAGACTTTATCATTCAGACTAAAGAAGCAAACAATAAGAAACACAATTGCTTGTTGATATCTATGTTCTGTTTTAACTTTTTGATAAAGCTTCAGTGAAACATGAAGAACCCCATGATGCTCCCAACCTTCAGTCCCTTTTTAGAAATGGGATGAATTTGCAGAACAGGTCTTACCATGTTCCACTAAGAGGTGATGTGAAGGACAGTCACTGTGCAGGCAGCTCTCAGAGTCTGAGAGAACATAATGCAGTCATCAAGGATGACTATATTGTCAAATATCTTCTATCATTAAATATGAAACATTATAATATATGAACCTGATGTTTATCTCTTGCTGGTTTTCATTAAGTTTATATTCTCTCTCTTATGTGTTGACCAGCTGTCACTTTAATGTTGTCTGAGATAATAATGAAGCAGAGAGCTGGATGAAGTTACCTTCAAGATAGAACACATTCCTCTCTTCATCTTCACCTCTGGATACCAAACATTATGATCAGACAGCATGTTGAACAGAAAGGCTGGCTCGCTAACCACACTTCAAATCTTTCCACAGTGTTTTCACGGGAAAATAACGTGATGTAAATGAGCCATGTGCTGCACATTGTGACTCACTGAATCAGGTTTCATGCTTCTTACACCCATTTCACACACTCCGTCAGCGCCACGGTTTTACTCCGTCGGACGGCTCGCGCCCGTTCACACTGGATCCGTTTCTGGGACGTCAGCGCAGCGGAGCGCACCCATGACACATCACAGGAGATCGCGCGGGAATAAAGAGAAAAACATGCAAACAACACGTTGCTTTGTCTTTCTGAGGATGCATTGTTGTTAATTCGGTTCCTGTTTTGACGTCATGTTGATAAAGTGATGAAAAATACGATCACGAGTCCGTATATTGTGTTTTATTTTGAAATTGACCGGATGCGCTGTGCGTTTCCTTGTCTGACTTCCTGTCCAGGCTGTCATATTCTGTCCAGCTTGATGCGTTCCTGCAGCGTACTCCGGCGAAAATAGACTCGCTGCGTATTTAAAAAGGAGCAGAGCGCAGCGCCGTTGGTGGCACACTCCGGAGACGGACCGCAGCGCCCTGTGTGAACACGATGATTGATTAGAGTGACAGCTAAGTACAACGTAGAGCGCGGCGCCGAAGGACTGCGGCGCACACCGGGTATGTGTGAATTGGGCTTTACGGTCGGCGCGGCAATATAGCGCAATCGCGGCCGACGAGAGGAGGGTTTGAGCACACGCGCACGCGCACGCACACGCACACGCACACGCACACGCACACGCACACGCACACGCACACGCACACGCACACGCACACGCACACACACACACACACACACCACACACACCACACACACCACAACACACACACACACCACACAACACACACACACACAACACACACACACACACACACACACACACACACACACACACACACACGACTCACCGAATGAAAGGTTCCCCACGAACACGGAGCGTTTGTGGTCGTGCTGCGAAGAGAGAGAAACGTCAGCACGTCTTCAACACGCCGTTACGTTAGCATTTACAATCTGGAGACTCACCGCCGAGCTGTCCGTCACTCGGTCCACGCGGATGTGAAAGTCTTTCTCGATTCCATGCCGTTCCTGTCGGGGGACAAATCACACTTTTCATTTCAAACTCTTTCAGAGCGCCGTCGTGTTCGTGTGAATCGCCGAGCCGCCGTCTCACCTCTCCAACGCCTTGGCCACGCCTCCTCGTCTTTAACACCACGTAGGCGTTGATGCTCTGCTTCTTGGGATGGACTTTACGTCTGTGGAGAAAAACAGAAACAAGCAGCTGATTAATGGGAGGAGCTTAACGGCAGCGACTCGACCGTTAACTCTACAGGAGAGAGAGAAACGTACTGAATGACGGCGACTTTACGGGATATGGACGGATCCTCTCGCACCTGCAGGAAACAAACAAACAAACAAACATGTGACACAATCCTTAAACCACGAAATCCAGAACATAGACTGCATCAAGTCACCCATTGGTTCCTCAAGTCACGGCTCCACCCACAGACACATTAAAGTCACAAGACAGGAAGTGAAGAAACCATCCGTCTTTGAGTGAAGGT